GAAGAATCTAAGGATCTCAACACTCTCAAGCTTGAAGATCTCATTGGTAAATTGATGACATATGAGATAGAAGTGCAAGGTGATGGTGGAGTTGAAATAGTTGAGAAGAAGAAGAAGGATGTTGCATTCAAAGTTAGCAACCAAAAGGAGCAGAGTGAAGATGATGCTAGTGATGGTGAAAACTTCTCCTCCTTAATCTCTAGAGAAGTGAGGAGATTTATGAAGAAGAACATCAAGAGCAAGCTTGCAAGAAGAGATGAAGAAGAATCTACCAAAAAGAGTGTGAAATGCCCATGGAGTTCTCTTTTAACTTATAGACATGATGCTGTTTTGCCCATGGAGTTGTCTACTAGATCATTGCGTATAGCAATTCAACATGGTCTCACTTCTGGAGAATATAATGAAGGAATGATTCTAGAGTTAGAAGACCTTGAAGGTATGCGATTGACGACCTAAGATAGGTTGCAAACGCAGAAATTAAAAGTTGCTCGAGCATACAATAAACGGGTGAAATCAAGAAGGCTGGCAAAAGGAGATTTGATATGGAAAGTAATTTTGCCACGGGGAAAGAAAGACCTCGAATTTGGGAAATGGTCTCCAAATTGGGAAGGACCATTTTCGTATACATGAAGTGCTCAGAGGAGGAGCATATTGGCTTGAATCATTAAAGCAAGGATTCTTTGAAAATTAAAAAATCAATTTCACTTTATTTTCTTCATCTTCCACGAGTACCACCAGTTGTCGGCTGTTTTCTTTCGCACTTTTTTTTTTTACTTTTCCAGATCCATTCTAATCAAAATCAGCAACCCATTGAACAGCCTTGTTCATGCTTCATCTTCCTCTCGCATGGAAATCTGCTTTCACCAAACTGAAAACTGTAAAATCTAACCCATTTTCTTCATCTTTCACGATTTACTGCCGGTCTTTCTCTCTTCACTTTGCTCGCCCAGATCTGCTCCCATCACATTCGGCGGCCCCACCAAAAGATCTTCTTATTCCACAGGTTATTGCTAGCTGTTTCCTTTAACTTTTTTTGCAAAGATCTGCCCCTCACATTCAGCGGCCCCCCACTGAAAATTCTTCTTGTTGGTGACTGCCGACTAAATCCTTTTTTTTTTCTTTTTTTCTTTTTTTTTTTTGTGTAGATCTACTTTGCTCATGTCTGGCGATTCCACCAAAGAACCTTCTCCTGCAAAAGCTGCTTCCATGGCCGGCAACCAAGAAGGACAACCCATTCCCACCGAATCTGTTCCTTCCATGGCTGGCGTTAAATCAAGGTTTTTAAAACCGGACCGGACCGGCCGGTTGAACCGGTCGGACCGGTACCCGGTCATGAAAACGGTTCGGTTCACATAAGAAAACCGTTTGAGGTTAAAACCGGTAAAAACCGGTCAAAAACTGGTCAAAACCGGTCAAAAACCTGTAAAACCGATAAAAACCGATAAAACCGATGAAACCAGAAAAACCACCGGTTCAATTTCTCATGCAATCTTCTTTCAATTTTTTCCAATTTCACCATTCCCATTCCTTTCTTATACCCATTTTAACCTTTAACTTTAACAAAATTACAAAATTATCAACACCAAATAAAAAAATCAATGCTTATAGCTTGCTCCGCTCATCAAACCTTCCTTATTGTTTGGACCGGCCGGTTCACCGGTTCAACCGGTTGAACCGGTCAAACCAAGAACCGGACCTGAAAACGGTTCAATGACCGGTCCGGTTTTGAAAACATTGCGTTAAATCCTCTCATCCCAAAGAGCTGCCATCTGCTGGATCTGCTTCAATGGCCAATTCCAAGGCCACTCATTTCTTGAAATCGCCTTCTGCATATTTGGTTAAGCTCTTCCAAACCCAAAATCTCCAAGATGATGTAAACCGAATACTCCAACGCCATAAGCCATGCCATTCAAATCAGATTTTTGTTCCTCATAAGAAATCCCAGATTTTGGGTCCATACTTTGTGTCTCACCCGCCGACTCCTCTTGCCTCCATTTACCCATGTCATAATTCACATTTTAATAGAATTTTTTTTTTTTTATTTTTAACTAATATATTTTGTTTTTGTTTTACTTGCTAGGTTCAAAAAAAAAAAAAAAGGCAAAAAGGAAATTTTACGAAGAACAATGGAAAAGAAAAAGAAAGAAAGGACTCAATTGAAGATCAAAAGTTGGGGGACAAAATCTTTTAAGCTATAAATCTAGCCGATTAAAACCAAAGCCCACTCCAAAAACCAAACTCAAACCCAATTACCCAAAAAAAAAACAAAAAAAAACCCAAAACCCAAATACTCAAACCCAATTACCCAAAACCCAAATACCAAACCCAAAACCCAAAACCCAAATAGCAAACCCAAAACCCAAAACAAAAAAAAAAAAAAGGGCTTAAATATTTTGTTCTCCAGAACATTCTTCTTCCCCACACGCCCCTTTTGCTCGCCGCGAACAGGCCTTGCTGAGCCTGCGCCCTACTGCACCCGAGCCTGCGCCTTGCTGCACCCGAGCCTGCGCCTTGCTGCACCCGCGCCTGCGCCTTGCTGAGCCCGCGCCCTGCTGCACCCGAGCCTGTGCCTTGCTGCACTCGAGCCTGCACCCTGCTGCACTACACCCTACCCCCTGCTGCAGATACCCTACTGCTTGCCTGCACCGAGCTTGCACTCTGCCCCAGCCTGCACTCTGCTGCGCCCGGCCTTACTTCCTGCACTAGCTTTGCTCTGCACCAGCTCTTGCGCTCTGCACCAGATCCCCTGCGCCCTGCGCTTGCACTTTCCCCTTTGCGCCGCTGCGCCCCTGCTGCACCGAGCCTGCACCCTGATCACACCCAGATTCCCTTGCTCTGCGCCCCCTGCTGCGTTGACCCTGCTGCTGCGCCTTTGTCCCTGCAGCCAACCAATCATGAGACAAACCTGCAGGATGACATCACGCTCCAGATTTCTTGGCTGTTCTGCAGGGCCAGTTTTGGCCTCATCCGATCAACGGTGGAAGGAAAAAGAAGAAAAATTGAAGGGTTTGGATGAGGAGAGAAGAAGGGAGATAGGGTTTTTTTTGATTGGGTATAAATAGGAAGAACCGGTAAATTGAAAACGGGGGTCTTTGGTTGATGGTGAAGTTTGGAGTTTGCTTTGGGTTGATTTTGGAGTCCGGTTTTGGGGATTTTGGCTGGTTGATTTTCGGGTTCCTTTTGGGAGCTGGGGGTTCTTTGGTCTCTTTTCTTTTTGGTGTTGGCGACAGTGGTAGAAACGGGTGTTTGTTGGAAGCATTGAAGGGGTGATCGACCGGAGATAGCTTAGCCGAAGAAAGTTCATATTTTTCTGGATTTCTGCCTTAGGTAAGCGTCTGGAACTGGGAGATTTCAGGAGGGGTGGTGAAGGTGATGGACGGAGCTTGATACCGTGGGTGGGATTCCTCCGTTTGGCGCCAGATCTACCGCTTTCCTGGAATTTCCACTTTAGATTTTTACTATTGTTGATGTCTTGTATTATTTTAGTGATGAGTACTAAAATCTACCCGTAAAATGTTGAGAAATGAATGATAGATTTGTTATCATGCAAGGGATATTTACTGGATTTGAATTTGAATGTATGTTTCTACAGAAAAATTATTTAAATTAGATGAACCCTAGTTTTCCTGCTTTGTTCGCATGTTTGATCTTTTGTCTGTCTATTTTATGCTCGGATCTTGTTTTTGGATCGGGTCAATCCGACCCAATCTAGTAAAAAAACTAAAATATATATAATAAAAATAAAAAAAATTAATTAATTAGGATAATTAATTCAGTTTATGATTAATAAGATTAATTAACTTTAATTAAAATAAATTAATTATTTTTTATTGATCTTAAACTTAATTATCTTGATTTAAGATTTATAAATATGATTAATTAATTTTAATAATATTAAATGAATCATTCAATTAATTAATTATCTTAGTTAATTAATTTAAATCTTTAATTTCCTTTAATCTCGTTTAAGGCAACGTTTTAAAAACCGGACCGGACCGGCCGGTTGAACCGGTCGGACCGGTATCCTGTATTAAAAACGGTTCGAATCAACATTTAAAACCGGTAAAACGGTTCAACCGCTCAAAACCGGACGGTTTAAATCCTTTGGAGGATTTACCTTAAATTTGCTACCTCGGAGGCTTGAACACATGACTTCAAGAAGATTTTCTGTGACTTTCGCCACTAGGACGTTACCT